ACTGATTTAGGACCTATACAATAAAATGGTTTTATTAATGTGATAATGAATGCTATAGGAATAAAGAGACGTAATAAAAGGTCTTAGATAACAGTTATGATGGATAATAAATGTCCCAAACAACAACAGATAGGACATGAAAAGATCTCTTGTTGGCGGAAAATGAGCAATGAGTTATTAGTAAACCATACTTACATATTCTAATAAAATTATAGTTTTAAATCTTAAGTAGCATCATCAAACTGTTCCCTTTAGTGAAGAAGCATTTTGAAGGCTTCACACAAGTATAAGCAAATTTATGAAGACAAAAGTAATATTTACGCTCAACTTTACCAGAATCCTTATAAGATGCACGATAAAAATCATATGAAGTTAGGGCTATCTTCCCATGCAAACCCAATTTACTAAATGTATTTGATAAAAATTAAATACATCTATAATGTTAACTTTGGTCAGATGATTTGAGGGTTAATTCAACTGAAAAAATGGGCTCCTTTAGAAAAAAGCTGCTTTTAGGGTTATGAGTACTATGTAATATACAACAATATATAATATAATACTTTTTTATTTAATCAATTAATTTTAGTTTATGTTAAAATCAATTTTTTATTTGAATAGGAATTGATAAATAATAGGCTCAATTAGCTACTAATTTAATTAAGTTAAGTTAATTATTTTTAACAAACTATGTGTCATAAGAAATAATAAAAATCTAGTGTACCCTACTGAAGCAGTTTCCGTGCATTTATTTAAAAAAAGGAGGAATGAGTTTTAAAGTTATTTTTGGCAATTAGTAGATGAGTATAAATTGAAGCCTCTTGTAATAAACTGAGATTCATATCTTGATAAAATAAAAGTTGTAAAAATACCCTTTTACGATAAAATGAATAAACAAAAATTAGTATTATGGTTGCTTGACCTTGTTTTCGCAACTTATTCATATTGGCAGAAAGACCTAGAGGAGCGCTCCAAGTCCGGAGTCCATATAATGCCTAATAATTTCATCATTCGGACCGCGGATTTGGTGCATTCTCAGACGTTCCGCCGGCATCCTTAATGAGCCTTGCCATTCTTAGCACATCACTACAACTCGTCAACAAGTGAAGTCGATCTGTAGACCAATTGTCTGCTAAATAGTTGTGTTATCTCCCCTTCTGTCCTGGGCTATTCATCTACTGTATATCTCGTATCTCTCCTTCACTATCACAATTTATTAATTGCTTATTTAAATGTGGTATAGTGTGCCATTTTGAGAGGATTTCATTAGATATTTTCACACTCTACGCTGGCTTTCTCACCACCACCACTCCATCCTCGCGCTGGGAATGTTTATCAGAGTCACATTAGTCCACAATCCTCTTCCCACAGGTCCCATCAGAGTCTCCCTCCTGTCGTATCTATATTTCAGCAGTCTTTGGTATTCGTGATTCCTAGGCCGATCTTTCTTCCTACCTCCCCAATATACTTCTGCTCACAGTTGCCATATTTGATGCAATCCAGCAGACTGGTGAAAAGCCTAGTCTTCTATGTAATCACCTTGATATTCCATTTTATAAGTAGCAGTCGTAATTTTTAGCTCAGTTCACAGGGGAGCAAATATATCCTCAAAAGACTCTGTAGAAACATGGATACGTAATGATCCGAAAAAGCGGAACACATTGCACGGACAACACACGAAATCGACAGAAAAACTGGTTGCATATTGTGAAAGTACAATAAAACTCAAGATCTGAAGGCCATCGATATACTGACTCAAAAAAATTAATGAACAGAATACTCGAAGAAGACAGGATCAGCGAAAACTTTACATATTGCCTAAACAAACTTGGAGATCAGGCAACAATAAGAAGGAAGACGACTGGATCAAGGCAACATTTTTAATTTTAAGAAAATAAATCGCAAGGAGACCAGAAAGGAACAATCGGAAACCAAGCGGAAACGTCTAGAAGGGGCTTAATAAAAACAAGTAGAACCACATTAGTTGTGGGTTGACACACAAGAGACTAGAGCATAGAAAGTCATAGAGTTGGCATTATGAATAGAAGCGTGAAAGATGCGGCGGAGACTGAAGGTAGTTGGCTAAAAGAAGACGTGCTTGATCATTGACGTGAACCATGAAGCGAAAGTTCGACAATGAGAATTACTCGGGAACTATGGCCTTATGTTAGTCTTCCATCCAGCTTGAGAATCCAGACTTTGTGGGCTTACTCAGTAAGGCGGGAGAATACGTGTCATCGAAGGCTTGAGTCAGTGTGGGAAATAACTCATCGAGTAGCACAGATAGGGTAGCAGGGGTCAAATAGAATACCTGAACCAGGGAGATAGTAGATGGATCTTACGGGGCAAGAGAGAGACTCTAATAGGACTTATGGGAAGAGGATTGCAGACTAAAATAAACATTTTCAGCACAAGGATGGGGGTGAAGAGATCTCATGAAATCCTCTCAAAAAGAGCACACTATACCACAATTAATTAAACAAATAAGAGAATGTAATAGTGAAAGAGTGGTACAAGGATATAGGATAGGTGAATATCCCATGACATAAGGAGAGATAACACAAGTGTTTAGCAGACAATTGGTCTACGGATCGACTTCACCTGTCTCTTGACGAGTTGTGATGTGGTGCTAAGAATGGCAAGGCTCACTGATGATGCCAGCGAAACGTCTGGGAATGTACCAAGTTCACGGTCCGACCCTTAAAATTATCATGCATACTATGGACTCTGGACTATGTCTAATCCTCTAAGTCTTCCTGCCAATATGACTAAGTTGCAAAAGCAAGGTCAAACAACTACTAAAAATACTTTAATTGCTTAACTATAGCTATGATCCCAGTTATAGCACATAGAATTTGAAAAATCTAATAAAACAGAATGCCTGTCTAAGGCTATGACAGCTCGTGACTTAAGATGTCCAGAAGAATAAGTTGCCCTCATTCTAATATCGGTACAAAACGCTAGTGATGATGGGTTTCATTAAAATTACTTGCTTGGATCGAATATAATCAATGTCCTTACCGCTTGACCATGATCTCTTTTTCCCATCCGTTAAAAGTGCCACTGAGATATATCTCGTCACCGCCTCCATTCCATCTGAAAACGGTGGGGACAACGCGCTTATTCGACCCCTGGTTTAGATTAGCAGCTAACTCAGAAGTGATTCCAGGTCCAGCAAAACTACGCCGAAGGGGCAAAAACGAACTACAACCAAGAGATATGGGGGAGGATAGCATAAACGCAGATGAAGGATGCTCGGTCTCTGCAGTTCCAGCAGATCTCCCAAATGCTCCACCACTGCTACCAGGAATTCCAAGTCCACTTGAGCTAGTGTCAACCACCAACGCCTGCTGAATGGAAGGCGATTGTTTCGCCTGAGACAGAGAAAGGGGTGGCAACTGAAGGTGATGTGGGTGGTGACGCGTTCCACTAGAATGAGACAGGCCACTGGTTATGTCGGTATTGCCAGCACTGGCGCTGGTAGGTTTCGAGATGTCTTGAAAGTTCTATGCAAGAATAAGGAGAGAATAAAAGGAATTTGACAGGCAAAGTTGCAGACAAATAGTAATGGAAGTAAAATAGGAGAATAAGCTACTTTAGTTAGTCAGAAGAATACTAGAGTAAAACCATATTGAAATAGTTGAAAGGAATCAAGACATTCACATAATTTTTGTGGTTACTTCCATTTTAAGTGAAATTGTTTGGTGAAAAGACCCGAAGGTCGATTCCACAAGAAGACGACGGCAGATTCCTCCTGACCAGCTGTCGATTGGCTTTACTCGAACATTCATGCTGATGCTGTTTCCGAGGTAATCTACTTCGATTCCGATCAAAAGGTGCTAAACTTTTGTTTGTCATATGACGGAAAACTTGACTCGTTAGTTTGAATTTAGTTGTGATGATGAAACCTTGCTCTGATGATGTTTGTCATAGAATGGAAGAAAGCTTAGCACCTTTTCATTGGAATAGAAGGAGATTACCTCGAAAACAGCGTCAGTATGAATGTTCCAGTAAAGCCAATCGACAGCTGGTCAAGAGGAATCTGCCGT